AATCCGTTGCATGATCCGAGTATAAAAACAAAACATGAAATATTCCAAAGCTTACGATTTTATCTTACGAAGTGCAACAGTGAAAAGGCAACCAATGAGTTTAGCACTCTTGTTAAACGTGGCCACTGCTCCTGCAAAGCTTCCTCAAACTAGATCCGAGTCCCGTTTAACGTCCAGCACAAAATCAAAGGAACCCTGAAAGCACGCAGAGTTCCCACCTAGGTTAGGAGCGCTCGCCGTCCTCTTGCCTCCCTTGATCTTGAAGAAGCCCCGCCCGAACGACGCCCTGGCCTTCCGCGTCCCGAAGCTGTCGTCCACTGAGCCGGCCTGTCGGGGAGACTTGGGCGGCAGGCTGCCGAACTTGCTTATCTCCTCGAAGGCCTTATTCTTGAAAGAGTGACAGAGCAGCACAACTGAATCCACATGTCCGCCTCGGGGCCTGGCTGCACAGAGCTCAACCAGCACGAGAGTGCATGGAGTCATGCACTAGGACTCAAACCCGGCCCGGCCATGGTCAGTGCTAATGAAGGGCAGAGGGGCAGCTGCTCTGATTAATCAGTAGGCAATAATACGTCTCGTAACTGGGCTCGAAAAGCAAAAACCAGCAGAAGATAGTTGGCAATGACTTGTTTCTGAAAAGATTGCTGTCTCACAATAACCACTAGGTGTCCCGATTGCACCGAGAATGAGTCCAGATGCAGTTTTTAATTTGGCCATTACAACACCGAGATGTGTTGCCACATAACTAGAAGCAGATAACTGAACATTTCAATTAGCACCCTGTTCAGTAAATCCTGTTACTACATTTGGCTCTGACAGATTGAAATATTACAGTTCATCTATGGCTACTAATGCACTATTTAGAACTGTGCAATAAACATCACCAAAAAGAAAGGGAGTCTTGCTACTGGAGGTAAGCCCAAAGATTCACTTTTTAACAAATTAAAGGCTTTATATTAAGGTCTTTCACATGTGTCCTTGCATAATACACCCCCGCGTGGACTCTGCAAACCCACATGCAACTCCATATTTCGATCCCGGGGAAGACAGAGGGGTCTTTAAACCATGCAAGGTGTATCCTTTGCTGCTCTAAAAGGGTTTCATGCAGAAGCAGTCACATGCCAGCTACAGTTTTTCCTCTTCACACGGGTAACGGCCACCACTGCTCCCTTCACAGGCACTGACAAAACCACACAGGCGCCAACCTTGATGAGAAGTAAAAAGTTCTCCGCCATCTAAAGACAGACGGGCGGGCGGGCAGGCAGGCAGGCAGAGCCCCAGAGGAAGGCAGCAGGAAAAAGAAGAGGCACATGAGAGAGAGGTAACAGGAAAGAACGCAGATCTGAGCCAGCGGGGTTTCTCCCCGGCAGGTGAACTGCTGATCACCTACCTCTTGTGGCGTCTGATGGACTGACGGGAGGACATTCTTCTACACAAACAAAGAAAAGGCAACATTTCACAGGAATGAAAACGTTTTCTTAACAAGTGTATTAAAGACCTGGTTTTGATGTCTTAGAAGATGAAAGGCAATGTAATTTACCTTGTCAGCATCACTGCTTTTTAGATTGTCCAGACTGCTTGATTTTGTGATGTCTGGGGATCTGAAATAAAAATGAACAAACGTGTTCAAAACACGTCCAAAAGCTGTCCGCAGTCTAAGCCTTATGGGAAGAAATTGATTGCAGGATAAAAACTCACACAGGGCTGTCGCATATTGAAGTCTCCTGTATTTGCGACACGTCAGGAGTCACCACTCTGCTGTATAGGTTTAAAAAAAGAACAAAACATATTGGGATTAAAACGATGGAAACGATTCCACTGTGGAGCACATTCAGAGAGACTCCTGTCCAGAACGGCCATGTCAAACCTGTCCTGTTCCTTCTGCTCCAGGGCTGTATTCTGCTCAGGCACGCAAGATGACTTTGGGGTTGATGTTGATGCAGAGATGGACACTTGGAGGACACTCGTATGTAGTTTACCGGAGAGCTGAAATGAGTGAAAAGAACTGACTGCTGAAGACCACCCTCATAAGACTCACACCTTTCAAGTGCAGTAAAACCTCAGTATTATTGAGGGTTATGTTCTTGAAGTCTCCATGAATGACAATCTCACAAAATGTGAGACTTAATATCTTAGGGGGAAAACAGGGTTGGTTCTGTGGCAAATGAAACCAGTGTTAATTTAATCAGTTTTTGAATTAGTCAATCTTAGTCAAGACTAAAAAGTGAAACACATGTAATCAAATTTTAGGCATTAAACCGTGCCGTAGTCAACTAAAATGGATGTATGATTAAACTTGTATTTCTGTAGCAATAGTTATAACTATTTCAGAAATAATGTTAGTATTGTTTACTAAATGAAAAAGAATAGTGTAAATTTAAAGCTGTTTTTCTACTAGAATTCAAGTTATTGCATGTGCAAACAAATTAGATTACGGTTATGTGATCTTAGTGAAGTGCTTTCTCTTTTTACATCACTTACATAAAGGCAGAAAAACTGTCCAGTAAATAAAGTTTCCTACAGCTCAGTAATAGGCAAGAACATCAATTAACACACTCCTTTCCCACTCAACCAACTCACTCTCCTACAGATTCTCTCTCATTTCCCACAGATTTCATTGTAAACACTTCAAAATATGTCACAAGTGTAGTGCTTCACCCTGACGTAAAAAGGGGAGCATATCTGCAAAACATCTTCTGTGAAAACAGACTAACGATCACAGGCTTAAACCCTAGCCATAATGTAAGCCCTAGCCTTAAGAGTAGTTTTAACAGCTGTGCAGCTCTTATTCTAGTTGCTGGTTCTGTCTTTAACGATACTGACTATCCTTTCAGGGAAGAGGAGAGGTACCACATGCCCCCGAGGCGTCTCTGAGAGCGTAGAGCACCGTGGTACACAAACCCCACCCGACCCATCAATCAGCCACTTAGGACAGACCCAGGCTCGAACCCGTGATTGCAGAGCAAGTGCAGGTTTAGAGCTGGAGTCTGGAGGCCCCCGATCTAACCTCAGCTACAATGCTCACACGACGCTGTGCTAGTCTGCGTATGGGCACAGCAGGTTTGCACTCTTCCTTTCATCTAACTCTGGTTTTGAAATCCAGAAAATGTGAAACATGAAACAGCTCATGGATGAGAAGTGTGGCAATGTTAATGCTGCTGATATGTTATTACCACCACACATTGGAATTCTTCTTTGAGAGATTTTTTGCATAAATTCAAGGTGAACATATTACTTAGACAAAAAAGGCACCTAACTAAAGCAGAAAGAAAAATGGTAATTGAAGCCATTTTGCATTGATGTCTCTATATCACACAAGCAAGGTCTCATTCTGTTCTCAGTACAGTTTGTGGCCATATGTTGCCATAAATACCAAGTCATTATCTTTATTTAACAGGAATAAAATCCTGAATGAAACAATAACAATGACTAGCAATTCTCGCATTTGTAGGGAAACGTTATGACTTTTTAATTTACATGAATCTGTTACACCTATTACAGACATAACCTGGGTCTCACAACAGACTATTTTATTGCGATTCTATCATGTAATCGAGTGCCGCGATCCTGCGGTGCTGCCCCGCACAGTAAGGATTACAAAGGAGTCCTGCATCTATAACAGGATACGCACCTCTCCAGGCACGGGCAGCACTGCCACCTCTTGCCTGGCTCCTGGCTCTTCATGTGCAACAGGAGAAGGCGATTTGTCCGATTCGACAGCGACTGAAATGGCAGTGGACACAGAAACAGAGCTATCGCTCTGACTCTCTTCACTGTCTCCCTCTTTCAGCTTATCTGAAAGAAAAGGTCAAACCCTCGTTCATGTTTTTAAAAAACAGCAAGAACACCTGGTTATGAAAGATACACATTTGTGATCATCCTAATGGACAACGGATATGCTTAACACTAATCTCTCCTTTCCTGAAAACTGCTTTAGAAAAGCATCTTAAAAGTGAATTACCAGCAGAAATAAATTGTTTTTAAGCGCGTTCCTAAAATTAACAGATATTTTAAGAACATGCACATACAAAATAGTCCTCCTGCTCCCCCCACAAAGAGCTCAGAAGAAGATTCTCTGCTCTGGTCCTGAACCCAACGGAAGGCCGGCCATGACCCTGGGATGTACAGTTTCTGTCCAGCAATCCTCCGTATGTGCCACGAATATCTCAGCACATATAGAAGACGCCAGGTCATCATTGTGAATGCCAGCATGCAGACAAACTGTACATACAGGTCAACTCAATCTACCGACATACTTTCGGTAGGTCAAAAGGATTCGGTGGAATCTATTTTTATTGAATTACTTGCTTAAAAACAAATCCAAATTAACTGCAACTACAGCCTTTTCACCAATTTGACTGAATGATTTGGAAAGCTTGTCGCACTGTGTTCTTTTCTGGCAGAGTCATGCCCAGACGAGAATAGGAAAGGCTGTGCTCTGCACGCCCAGAGGAAACATTCTGGTCTACTTAAAGTGACTTGGTTATTGCTGGGTCATTTCCTGTTAAAGGAGCAGAATTCCAATTCCTCCAAAATCTGATCCTCACCCTGCTGCACTGCAGGTAGTGCTGCCATAAATAACATTACCTTTTTTAACCTGGGCTGAAATGACCATGTCTTGAACCTTTTTATACCGGTTGAGTGATTGTCGGAGTTCTTCAATTTTACGATCCTGGAATCAAAGTTGGAAAGAAAGAAAAATGTAGTAAAACACAGCCTTATAAACAAAGAGAAATCTCCCTCTCTTGTATGCAGCATACCACCATCAGTATCTTACAGTACCAATGTGTCCTTTAGGTTTCAGTGCAGTTGAACAGCTTGGGAATCTGCAGCTTTCTGAGATGGTGTATGAAACACGGTAAGATACAATGCATACATCGTTTCCTCTCAGTAAATCATTAATTTACAAAGTGAGATAAAACATGGTTTTAACATGGTAGCCAAACAGGCTGCTGATGCACCCATCTTCCTCCTGCTTACCCAAGCCTGCAATAAAGGCAAGCTCTGTCAGGAGGTGGGTCAGGAGCTATAAAATGCCGTTACCTTCTCTTCGTTAGCTGCCATCAATGACTCCACTGCCCTTTTCATTTTTTGCACCTCAAAGTCTGAAAAATAAAACTCACAAAGTTAAACATGAATGGAGAATGTTGTTACAAACTGCCCCTAGCAGAACTGCAATCCTGGTGTTTGTGACTTAGATAATGGCAAGAGTGTTGAACTGGAGCAAAAGAAGGCTAAGATTAGTGAAAAATAAGAGATTCTTCTGACTGAGACAAAGCTTGTGTGTGAATCCTGTGCTGCAGCCACAGCAAAAACACCCTGGAGCAAAGAGGAAAGACAGCCTTACAGCTGCCAGTCTGCAGAGCTCAGGGCAACAGTGAAAGAGTCCCTCTGGTGTACTGATGAAGGCTGCTTCCCAGACAACAAAAACCAAATGTACTGAGCATCAAGAGAAATCCAACACGTATAGAACTAACATGCACAACATTATCAAAAAAGGTAAATTTCTTCTGCTTATTAACATTAGTAAACAACAGGATGTCTACAGTCTGTCTGGCCTCCCCTGCAAGCAGTACAAGTCAAACATCTGCAATGCACGCATGGCTCCAGGCTGCAGCTGCAGTCTGGTGTGACTGACCCATTCCCTAGCCTGGCTTCGCATGATCACTAGCCTCCGAGCCCAAGAAGCCTCAAGTCTTCTCGGCTCATCCCACAGCTGGCCCATGGGGCTCTGGTCTGGCAGCCATGGCTTCCACAGCATCACTGCCACATTCGCACCTGACAGGAAAGCTGCTGCGACATGAACAGCACGAGGAGGTTCTCTGTCCTGCTGAAACACTGTCACATCAGGAAGAGCAACTAAGGGAGTGACGGCCAGGTCATCACACCATCTTATCATGCCACGGCGTGTCTCCTGGGGTGTGACCCATCAGTAAGGGACTGTTTCACTGGAATGCTTTGCCATGCTACCGATTCATGGCTGTAAACCCTCCCAAGTGGTTAACAGGTCCAATTTTCCTTAATTTTCACTTGGCTTGACAGTCCTCGGGTTAAATAAGCTCTCACTGTCAAGGTGATTTAGTGTTCATGCAACAGTCACTTGATTATTGCAGCCAGATGTGAATGAGCAAAATAAAACACCAAACATATTTCAGTTATCGAACGTGCATATATTTTTTCTAAAAATACATGTAGGCGTGCAAAATTTCTTTTGATACTCAGCATGAAACGAGTTAATCCAAAAATGAGATCTAAGCCGAGCACTTTGTAACATCTGGTTATCACAACAACCTTTGTTCAATGGCAATGTAGCCAACAAACTCAAATTGAAACTCAAACTCAAATTGAGCAATCCTCCAATTAAGTCTCCTGTCCCTTAGGACAATCCCACAGCCATCTAAACCAGGAGCCCCCTGCCAGTGGGGGGTGCCAGATGTTATAATGTATGCATGGATAAACTATGCATGCAACACGTAAGCAGAATACCAAGCAATGCAATAAAAACACTAGAGTTATTAAATGATTAAAAAGGGAAAGTGAGTCATATACGTCTGGTAAAAGACCTAACAGGCAGGGCTCTTTGTGTCAGTTCCAGGCTTAGTTGCTGAGGGGCAGAAGACTGGCTCCTGCTCATCGCGGCTTTGTTACAGAGGATTGCTCACACAGTAATGGCTATTTTATGAAATTTCAGGTTTCGTGGACAATTACAGGAAAAAAAAAAATTTTGTTATCTGGATGCAGCAGCCTTTGGCCATCTTCTAGGAACAGGATGCACCCTGCAGACAAGAAAATCTCTGAAATAATCAGTGTCCTGTTTCTGGAGAGGACAGGATACAAGAGGTGGGACTACCTAATGTGGAGGAAGTTGAACTCCAGTACTGCGAGATATTTAGCACAAAAAGCAGGCCCACCATTCTGAATAAAATATCCCCACCCAGGAGATATAAATAAGCAACCCTCTAACGCACCTTGTTTACACATGCAGATTGTAAGCAAAGCACACTAAGACAGAGAAGCGTTGGAAAAAAAAGGCTAAAACCTTACGTTTCTCTTTGAGCTTCTTTTTAAAATTTTCATCTGTGTGGAATAATGAGCAAGATGCACAACAGTAAGCAATAAAGCAGAAGAGTTACTTTGACATAAAACAGTTTTGCGGTTCTGAACATTTCAGTCCTTGATTTGTAAAATTTTGTGCAGCTGGTCTTCACCACGGTTTAAACAGTACATTAGCAAGTAAGTGCAGTCACATCAATGATTCTAGGCAAGAAATTCAGGAAGACTGTCTGCTGCTTTGTCCCCAGAGGCCCCGCCCACCTTTCTCCTCCTTTTCTGGCCCCTCCCCCGGAGTCTTGACGAGATCCTCCTCCCTGAGCCGCTTCAGTTCCACTTCCTTCTGTTCCAGCTGCTCCTGCAGCATCAGCAGCTCGTCCTGCGACACACACACCGTGGGGGGAAGAGCCTTGGATCAGAAAAGGTGTCCAAGGAGTCAACATTCGGTTCCTGGTTTAAAATCATCATGCACTAAGATCTGCAAAACTTTCTTTGATTGTTTTAACCAAACCAAAATTTTCCATCAGTCTTTCAGGGAACTGTTACTCATCATGAGATGACAGTCCAATATCATCATTGCAAAGTACTTTACTAGGATCGCTTGAACAAAAAGAAAAACTGATTACAAGAGCATGATTTCTCCACTCAGAAACCCCTCTCATGCATGATCATATACAGAAGATGTTCCTTGAATTGAAGTTTGATTTAAAATACCCACCACCCCTACAGGGTTAGCCCAAAGACATGGCAAGAAGGACCCAGAAAAATCACACCTTGTGTGTCTGGAATTTGTGCTCCATCCTCTGCTTTTCATACTGCATCTGACCAACCTTGATTTTCAGGCTAGAGAGTTTGGCCATTAGAGACTAGTGACAGAGAATTAGAAAAGAAAGCAACTGAAAGAAGAGAAAAGGGGAACTGATAAGTCAAAGTTTAAAGAAAGTGTTGAAAGGAAATCTTGGAGGAGTACAAGTCTCTTTAAATTTTAATAACAATAACAAGCTTTTTTTGCTCTAGACCATGAAAAATGCCATCTTGCAGGAAACGCATCAGAAGTGTTAAAGGAATTTGATTTAAAAACAGACCTATGCTTCTCAGTTGTACAGATCATTTAACAATGTGAGAAAGCAAACTATAATTAGTGGGTAACCTCAGGCTCTAAACACTCACCTTGGTTGATTTCAGCTTCTTTTCATACTGAAGCCTCTCATTTTCCATCTCTGTCACTCTAAACCTCAGGTCATTAATCTCCTGGATCAACCCCTGCAAAGGAACAACTTTGTTAAATCTCACGTAAGAACCACCCAAGAATTATCGGAGTGAGTTGCAATTAAAGGCCCTGCATTTGCCCTTTTCAGCTTTTAATCTCATCTACTTTGCGACTTTTCAAAATCTTTTTTCCTCCCCGCAGAAGCTCAATCTTTTACATGCAGAGCGGCAGTTGCTGAAACAACTGCACCAAGAGAACTGCACTGTGGAACAACTGAACTTAGAGGCCCTATAAACAAAATGCACTCCCAGAGACATGTCCACGTCAAACCACAATGCCCCACACCAGCTCAATGTGACCACGATCGCCTGCGTGTGTCCAAAACACCCGTGTGAAGCATGTTGCTATCCGCCATCATGGCCTTGGTCACACTTGCATGTGTACCGATTTTATTGCTCCACACTGCACACTTCTTTTCACGACACACATCTTTGAGCAGGCCAGATAACAGAGAAAAGTAACCTTTATAAGAAACAAACCAAGAAAATCACCAACAAGCCTCTGCCAAATAAAAAAAAAAAGAGGAAGAATCCCACTTCAAGTCAGAGGAGAGAAAACATGCACAGTAGGTCTATCACTGGCAGCAGTGGAAAACTTGAAAACATCTGCATAACTAGGTGTAAATCACAATTAGAAGAGGTCTAAGGTCTACACAGGCTGCTGGAGGGATGCATGAGCCACACATTAGAGCAAGGCAGGCCAGTGAAATGCATCTTGAGCTGGAGATTTGGAACCAGACAAAATTACAGGAAAGAAAATGGTACAGAACACAAGGAAGTAAGAAAGCAAAGGTCAATGTTCTGCGCATGGTGTTCTAAAAAAAACTAACAAAACAATGATATACAGACAGTACTGCTGGAATGTCAACTTGTCTAGAACAATTGAAAGGTCAATTGAATCTTAAGGTAAATTGAAAAATTATTTCTATTTGCATCTGTATTCCAGAGAATGAAGTTCTAATGCATGCGAGTGAGTTACAAGTTCTTATGTCAAGGAAACTAATCCTGACCCAAATAGCAATTAATTGAGTAATCCTTTTTTGTAAATGACAAGTCTATCACCAACAGCAGAAATGCAGAGTATCTGCAGAAACTGAACTGATCTCGCAGAGATCATGCGCAGCCACATTGGGACCAGATGTTAAAGCAAAAGAAAAGCAACTGTTCACCTCTTGATCCCCATACTGTAACCTCTTTTCTTGGAAAAGTGCTAGTTCCACCTCCAGCGTCTCCATCTGGTCTCGGAGCTCGGAGATTAAGTTATGCAGTGACTACGTGGAGCGTGAGCAAGCAGAAGATTGAAAAACAAGATGAAGAGAAGGAAAGGGATGGCGGCTTGCTCCCATGACGGGGAACGTGAACACAGGAATTGAAAGGTAACGGTGAGGAAGACGCGTGTAACAATACATCCTTCTGGACATGGAGAGACACCTGCAGATTCCTGTCAGCTTTAAACTCACTACCTCTCCCTGCAACCAACACCCGTGCAACCCAACCACAGAAGACCACGCTAGACTTGGGTTGAAAACAAGAAATGAACATGAAGCCTAGTGGGTTATAAAATGTTAATTAGGAAAAAAAAACTTTCCACAAGCTCCAGATAACTTTAAGGCATTTCAAAAAGCACTAAAGTTAACAGCCGAAAGGAATTGTCCTCTCTGTGTGGTCTGACCACACATTAATGCCTTACAAAACCTTAATAATTCACCAATGTATAAAAGAATGCCATGTTACAATAGAACAAGTAAAGGTTTATTCCCTGCTGAAAAGAGAAGAAAGGAAACAACGTTTCGGCTGTGGAGCCTTCTTCGGGTCATGGGTCATGTTACAATAGAGTTCTATTTGTGTTTAAGCAACAGGTTGTGCATCTGGAGGGTCTGCTTCCCAGCAACAACTGGGGAATTCTGCACCACTTCCTTATGGGTAATGAATGTCTCCAGCCTGAGCTTCATGGGGCATTTTGAAAACCGAGTTTCAGAATGCGCTATGGAAGTCAAATACTTCCAAGTCACAATCTCATTACAAAAGCGCATTAATAATGTTGGTTACAAAATGATGCAATTTTCTAGCCATATCAACACACAGTCCCTCGCAAAAAAGTACAAAGACATCCTCCTATGGTGTCCCATTTTGTGAAATTACAAAAGTTGCTCTGGGACTGCTTTCTACATCTTCGCGATAGGATTCAAGTCAGGACTGGGCCATGAAAAGAATCACTTTCTTAGCCTCAAACTAGGCCAGTGTAGCTTTGGATCACCGTCCTGCAGAAATGTGAATTTTTAATCACAGTTTTAGGTCTAAAGTAAGTTTTTCTCTAAGATTTTACACAGCTTTGCTCAATGTTGCCATCAGTCTTGAGCTTCCCTGTCCCTGCTGAGTAGACACAGAACTGTAACAGTCCTGCCAGCTCCACGCTCCACTGTAGGGACGTGTTGACCGAGTGATGCAGTATGTTGGGTTTGCATCAGATGTAGTGATTGGTATTTGGACCAGGAAGATCAAATTTTGTGCCTTCTCACTACAAAACCTTCTACCTCATGTTTGTAGTGTGGAAAGTGATACATAACATATTGCACACATTCTAAGTGTCATGACTGCATATTTTAAAGCAATAAAATAAGGAAACCGCAGAGGCCTGAGCGCTTTTGCAAGGTACTGCACACAAGTCAAAGCCTGCTGAACATTAACCAGATCTTCACATATTGTATAATAAAAGGCAGCGGTCATGAAACACAAACAGAAGAACCTGGCTGGACACACATTTTGTTTGATAAGTGCTAAGCATTTGCTTAGATCATCGAAAAGCTTAATGCATTGTCTAATAAAAGATACAACTAACATTAAACAAGTGTTTCTAATTCATCTATATTTAAATTAACTATGTTAACTTATTACAGTTAGAACCTTCAAGCAAAAAAAAATATATATTTTCTATTAAAACTCTACATTTGCTGACTGGCTTCTCAGTACCAGGTTAGGGGAATAAAGTTTGTCCACAGGTTTTCAGTGCAGATGGGCTTCAAATTATCTAAATCAATTCATTATTGGCTTCAGTGGAACCACTGAAAAGCTCCTGCCAGCTCCTTAGATATTGCTGCTTTAAGAGACCTAGAAAACCTACACACACCAGCCCTCCAGTACCAGAACTGGGAATACTCCATTAATACCATAAATAAAACTTTACAGTGTGCTTATTAATGGAAAATGGCACATCCTTATGGCTATGAAGTAATGGTCTTGCATTAATACAGTAAACCTTTCTAAAAAAACTGATTTTTTTTCATTTTTAGATTTTGAAGGACAAAGATTTTTAAAAGGGTGCTAGCCTGTCTTTTCCATGAACCCAGAATGCACCCATTCAAAGCATAAAAACTGTCTTTGTCAACCTACACATCCACAGCTGACCATATTTATAGAATTCAATTTTGCTCCCTTCATTCACTTACAGCAACATTTTTCCTATACAGCGGAGAGTCTACATTTAGAAAAGAGAAGACGCACATGATGATCCTACCTCACTGTCCCTGAATCTCTCATCGAAATCCAGGCGGTCTTTTTCCAAAGCAGTCAGCTTCAGCTTAAGGTTGGAAACCTCAGCCATCAGATCCAGTTTCTGAGTCTCCAGGGCCGTCCTACTTAGAAGTTCCTGTGGAAAATGGCAGCATTATTACGCTGTTCGCTAAAAAATTCCACATGCTGCCTTAGCTGTTGATGTCATTAGAATTTAACAGCCTTTATAAAACCCCTTTTGTAAAGGTGGTGAATGGAGTTTTAATCCACCACTATCCCATAGTGAACTTTGGGGACATGAGACCAGGCTTTCAAATCAATGGCCTGCATCTTTTTACACATCTCCTGAACTATAAGCCTCTTTTAAGCCTCTCTTTAAAGAGCGGCATAGCTGTATAGACCAGTGAGGTGTCCAAAAGAAACACTTACCTGTTGCAGCATTTCCTCAGTAGCATTGAGCTTCTCTCGGTGTTCCTCCAGACACAAGTCAAGATCCCGGATCTTCTCCCCCTGCGCTTCCACCTGGTCAGTCAACACGCTTACCTGTGGAAACCACAAACCCAACCTCCCTTCTGAAAAGCTTGCACAGTGCAATCCAGCGCACTCCTTGATCTCCTTCACTACCGTCCCTCCTCGAGGTCCACTTACAGGAAAATGAACACAGCCACTAATCTGACAAAACATCTAGGATCTGACATTACTATTGGAAAGACTGGCGATTCCACAGCAGGTGTATGAAATTATGGAATCTAACAATACAGTATAATTGTAAAAGACAGTAGTTGTTATACACTTAAAATACTCAGATTTATTAATGTGGTTGCAAAGTTTTACAATTCAAAAAGTGGATTCAGGAGTTTTCTTACTTGCAACACGAGGGATTCCTTGTCACTCTCGAGACGAGAAAGCCTTTCCTGATAAACATCACCACTCACGGAGATGTGCCCATTGGTCTAAAAAATAAATGATTCGCATACTTATTAGCAAAGACCCTGAGAAAATAAATGACAATTCCTTGTGTCTGTAGGACATGTCTTTCTTCCTGATCCACTCATGAAAAAATTCAGATGAAATCTAGAATAACTGTTATGAGCTGAACAACTCATGCAGTAGAGTTTACCAGGTCTTAAGACATTTACATGAAATTTCAACAACATAAATGTCATGTAAGTGCACACTTTCCTCAGGTCAAAATGGAAGTCTAATACTCTGCTCAAGTAAATTGCAAATGATTGGGATTAGTTTTACTCAGACAAGAAAAGCATGTTGCTTAAATTGCAAAGGTGTGTGAGAAGGAATGCCTTCTAGGGTAAAAGAATCTGCCTTTCAGCAAACTGAGATGTGAGAAAAGATGTTCCATTTGTAATGCAATTCTAGGGTAAATGTTTTTTTAGACGGCTCTAAAAACACTAACTGTGTAGTAAATGCCTATGTAAACATTATTTGACACAAAGACATGACTTAGTGCTTGGCATCACCCTGGCAGCTATAACATTATCATTTGTTTGCCATTTCCCTTGGCAACACTAGCACTCCAGGAGCACACTATAACACAGTTCACATTTAACAAGACTTATTACTTATAGGCAAGCTGCTATCAAAGTACAGGGAACGAACAATAGTTTTTAATCATTTCAAATTCTGCATTTCCAAAGGCAAACCAATGTATCTAAGGGATTACCACACACATTCAGTGGACAAATTCTACAAAGAGCAAAAAAAAAAGGATTTTAAGTTCATCCACATTTTTCCCAATTTGAGCTAAGACGAGCCCTCTCAAACACAGCTGAGAGTACACAGAGAAAATTATTCTTTGCAGTCACATGAAAAAAATCAGTACACTTCACTCATTGTTTTTATAAAAATGTAGACAACTAATAAGTCTCTTATCTGTTAAACAGTGTGTCTTCTACACTACTGTAAGCACCTCTACATGTTTAAATGATTAAGGCCTTACCTTTCTCATCCACTTAAAATGCTTGTAAATATCCAAAGATCTCTCCATGTCACCATTTAGCTCTCAATTCACAAATTTATCCCAAGGAATCAGATTTATGACCACCAAAATTAACTTGCTGATAATGTTCAAGAAGACGATGTAAGAGAAGAGTACATTTCCATCCTTCCTCGTCCTCAAGCACGAGAGGGTCCTACAAGCCTCTGCCACTATCGGCAGCACAGGAATGTGTGGTAATTCTTCCAAGTTTGTCTAGGGACAGAGAGGGAGTCTTCCTGCTCTACCCTGTTGACATCAGCAGGAGTGAACAAACCACAGACAAAAGTCTAACCCTATTCCACCAGCCACATGAAGCTGGTCACCAACCTCAAGCTACTGCTGAATTTTGAAAGACCTTTGCCTTTCAGCTAGTAAAACCAATCCACATCAAGAACTCTCCCCTTTTGCAAATTACGTTACCGAATGCTGCCAGCAACTGCAATTACTAGTTAAGATATTAAAGAATAAGTACGTATAAAGTGACTGGGTACAGTTCACACAGTCTACCTTTAGTAAGAGGAGAGACTGTTCTCTGTTTAAGAGGAATTAGGAAACCACGCAAACAGGGCTTTGATTTGGGAACTATGGAAACCTGGCAGACAGAAGCTGATGTGAAGATGCTTCATGCATCTTGATAATGTCAATGTTTGGTGCTTTTATGCTTCACAGTAGACAGCCTTTAAAATGCCCGACTACACTTTCTGAAATAATCCTCCAAATCTTTCATATTCACATTGATAAAAAGGGACTTGAGAGGTCACAAACACTTACATAAACCCCTCTTATCTTCAGTTTCTGATGGGCATTCAGTTGTGGAAAAACTGTTACAGACTCACGTGATGCTCTGTTGTACTTTCCAGCTGTGTGAACATACAAGGAATCTTAAGCAGCGTTCCTACTTATAAAACTTCAAATCAGAAACTGTTAAAAAGTCTCCTTCTGTCCATTCAATTCCTTCAACAAAAACAAATAGCTTATTTGCTCTTCACATTTGAAGATCTATAAAGTAAAGCTTTCTTTTGTTTTCCACTTTGTGGGAAAGTATGACCTCTACAGGTTCCAACAGACAGCCAAGCAATATGCCACCATCATTCTTATTCTCTTGCATTTATTCCTTGGATAAAGATGTGAATTGTTAAACTAAAATGCAATATTCCTTTATTACCTTAGTGCACATTAGCACAATCTGCAAAAAAGGAGCTGTTGACTCTCTTCCTCCAAAAAAAACAAGACATTTTGCATTTAAAACTTGCAGGTTTTAAACCTACAAAAACACAAGCAGTAATCTCATTCCATGCCAAGATTAGGGAACAATGTACAAAGCATTTTCAATTTTTCTTCTGAAAAACAAATATCAAATAGTCCTTTAAAACCTTGCACACAAATCATTTGAAGTTATCAAACCTTGATCTTCATAGAGGAGTAATTTTTGCTTTATGTGGAAACCAATGACCTCATCTTATCTTCTGAAAGGAATCCAACGGTCCTCAGAGAATCGGGCATCCAGTTCTTATAACCTAACATGGACTTTTTTCCTTCATTGTAACAGTGATTAAGCCAGGAACTACTCACACTAGCAACAATTAATTTAAACAATCCTGAAGTTTAGTATTTTACTTTGGACTGTCAAGCCTGAAATTAATCAGGACTTTAGAAACATAATGTTAAAGACAATATTTCCAAAGCCAGATATATAAAACATCCACTTAAATTACCAGAATTTCTCTTCCCTCTTTAATCAGATCAAAGTTTTGTCCCAATAAGACAACTGCACACACATAATCTGCATTTCCTGTAACCAATACATTATACTGATATTAGCAGAATTCTAGCCTTGTGAATAACAATCCAGATCCCTGAAGCACAAAGGAATACAAAATGTCTGCATTTTAATTTACATTACCATCAGAAAAAAAGTACTTTAAAACTTGCATGAGATGCATTTTATGTGTTCAGATCTAAAGTCTCATGGATACATTATAATTTTTGGTTTAAGTAGAAACCACTGACCTAATCTTATCTTCTGAAAAACATCCAAGCTGCCTCAGGCATCCAGTTCCTAACGTAATAAAAGACCTTTCTTTATTCTGACAGTCAAACTAGAAACTATTCACACTTGCAACACTGAACTTAATGAGAATCCATTACTGAAGTCTTTTACATTGGACTGCCAAGCCAGAAACAAAACAGCCTTTAGCACAAAGTCCACGTCAGAAATCGTGCAGATTGTGACTAAGAGATGCTTAAAGTCAGGCTATAAATACAGTATATCCAAATATCCCATGCAAAAAAGGGAAGAGAATCTAGAAGTTTTTGACACCTCTACATATAACAGCGAGAAATTTATAGTATGGATAAATATGTAGTGAATACTGTATTTAAAGCAAAGTGAAAATTAATATAAACCAACACAAAATTAAGTGGAAAGCTCGGTCACTGGAACACTTTTCCAGCATCCCAGCAAATCGGAACACAATGGATAAATGTGATTCTTCAGCAGTGCCCTCTAGTTTATATAATACTTTTTTGTGTTTCCTTTGAAATTCAGTGCAAGTTGAGACTTAAGTCATTACTATTCACCTTTTTCAAATAGAAGCTTTAGTCACTGGAATGACAGACCAGATGCGAACAGAAAAAGCCATTGAGGAAGGAAGTGTTTTGTTGCACAGAGGACCGACAGCTCTTCAGACAGCTTTTCACTTGGCGCTTCAGTACGAATTTCTTGCCATAATATCTGTGAACTGTCAGGTGATGAATAGTGCCGTTATTTGTCAACTCGCTACATGGAACATTTATTTTTCCTACAACTTGCAAAACAAGTAGGTGCCCAGGCTTTAGGATTTTTCGAATATCATCCTCAACACTGCAGCTTCCAGTATTGCAATCAGCTAGCAAAAACTGCAAGGAACTGTGGACCAACATTACCCCCTCCTGAGCTGTACATCACCCTCTAGGGCTCCCATCAAGCTCCCTTCTACAGACACCTTCTGAGAAAACCAAGAGTCATACCACTGACCGCCTATACAGTATCCGAACAGAGAGCTTTTTCGGCAAAATCTCAACGGTTAATAACCCCAAATGCAAACTCCTTTAGTTCAAGGCTTCCCTTAAAGAACATGCGCAATAAAAAAATGAAATTAGATTATTTCATTTTTTTTCAGCCTTAAGGCACAGATCTTAGAATATTTGTAAGGGTGTGACTGACAATGCCACCCCCCTCAAAAAGGAAGAACAGCTCCTGAAGTCGGCTATTTCCGTTTTTTTTGTGTTCAGAAAGACATTATGGAAAGATGAACAAATTCGCATCAGAACCGCAGGAGGATAAATATCAGTGTTTATCTCCAAAGTGGTGGATCATGACGTTTAAAAGGAAAGTAGCGCACAACCGGAATAAGAGAATTCTTGAATCTGGCACGGCCACATCCAGGACCTACCATGTGACCCTGGAGCCACTCCACAATGAGCTCGGCGGTGGAGTCTGGGATCTGGCAGCGCAGCCCTTCCTTCTCTTCCGTCTCCATGAGCTCCAGCAGGCCCCGCAGGTCCTCGATCAGCTGCAGCGCCCGCAGGCTGCCCATGAAGGGAGAGGTGGGGGACTGGCAGTCGAAGATGCCATTGGAGTACTCGAGAGCCTTGGAGCCTGGAGGAACAGCAACACCGCAGAGCTCAGCTGGAAGAAGGGCCTGAGGGTCCACTTGGAGCAGTAGGGATTTGTCATTTCAAATTCATAGGTTTTTTATAGCACATATTCTTCATTTATTAAGATACAAAACTGAGGAAGACTTTCTGCAGGTCCCACATGATCAACAGGGAACCGGTCAAATAGTAAATGACCTGAGCAACAGCAGAACAGTACAGACAGGGTGCTGTAGGTAAAACTGTCTGTGATACACAACTAGCTTCCTTAAGAAACGTCAGCTTTCTAATTTTCTAAGGAAAACAAATGGCTTGTCATGAATACTAATTATGACCACTGAAATTCAATGGTACACAATTTCATGAAAGGCACATGGGTGAGCATTAAAAGAAACCTATGTAGGTTTTTAGAAAAAAGTACTTTATTTTAGATGTTGATAAAATGTTTTGGCATCATTTTAATTCATTGTTCATCCCTGACCGCTGCATACGCACTAAATCAGGGCAGTCTTGAGAGCTAATGGGGCAAAAACAGAGAGTCAAACATTTGGAAAGGAGCTGGTCAACCAACCTGCTTCCCTAAACAACTCAGCACGAAGAAGTTGATTATTTCAGTCAGAAATAACCTCTATTAAATATCCCAAACATTAAACCTTAAACATAATATTCTTATGGGCATCTTCATTCGCATCTTGCTGAAACAGCTCCCAACCCATCGCAGTGACGCAGCGAGGTCTGTAACAAGGGCTCGGACTCCAGTTTCCAGACGTCTGCTTTCCCCACCTGCTATGATTCCATCCATCTGCTCCAAGGCTGCAGCCAACATGTCACTGGCATCAGACATCATCTTGGAAACTCCCGAGCAGCCACTTCAACCCCTGGAAGATGGGGGGAAAAAAATCCACTATCAGAATATTTGCAGCAGAAAAGCCAGAGAAACTGGTATACATTTTTCTCCATGAAACCATGGGCAGTGTTGGGAACAACAGCCCCAGTATGAGATCCCAGTCAGCTTACAGTTGTCAGCCAACCCCAATCCACAATCTCCAGGAGCTGGGAAGAAACTAGAGTGCATGACCAAAAACTGCAGGAGCCAAGACCAAGACACACAGACTCCTCACAGACACCCCAGAAACCAGAACAGTGCTGATGTCTTTGTCACCCTGCCTGCCAAATCTGTAACCAACACTGGTTATTTACTGTAACTTTCATTTGTTTAGGCTGAAGGTCACACTCTTTAAATTCTGCCAGAAAAGCTTATTCTGAAGGAATATAAGTCAGATGGCCATTCCTTACACTTCCTCTCTCTCTCCATTCACCCATTCTGCACTGAGCCAGCAATATTAGAAACCTTCCAGGGAAGCCTTAATATTAATTCTTGACGTCAGAAATCTAACCATGTATATCCAGTTCTTAAAATTACACCTTATGGTACCAAGACAATTTAAGCTCATTATGAAATACACACCGTTTTTTTTCTGTTAAAATCAGGCATTGGCAATTATGATGTTTTGCAAAGAGCTGAAAGTGTATCAAAATGGCTATTTATTTTTACTTCACAAGCATTTGTATTATAAATAGTTTAAAAGCAGCCTTTCTGAATGACGCTGCAGCATAGCTTGAAGCCATTTCCTGTCATTTTCATTCAATTAAGTGAGATGGTATCTAGCCTTTTCATTGTTTTCCCATAGGGATAAACTATGCTACTGCAGTTATGCTTCCTGTAGATTCCAAAATTTGTACTTCTAACACATGGACAGACAACCACAGCACATTCCTGAAAACTGTCAACTCCATCTGTGCTGCCAAGCTCTGGGAACTACTACCACAAAACACCTCAGCCACTCAGTGTGCTTTATTGAGCCTCAGGACCAAATAAAAGCACTGCAAACAGAAGTCGTCATAACAACTTAACTAGAATTAATAAAGGTCAAGTCAAAATCTTTGGAGAAATAGATAAAAATACACCACTTTTTGGAGAAACAAGGATTGATTTGACATCTATTTCTATGATAAGAGAGGTTTCAAACTAGGAGGGCAAATTGACCCATCCAGCTTGTTCGGTCAGTGTCTAACCCACCTGTTTCTTGAAAGAAGTCAGGGTGTCACCTTCGTTAACATTGCTGGGTAGATTGTTCCACACTCCCACAACCCTTCGGGTAAAGTGCCCTTTGTTCTTGTTCTTGAATGCATTTGCTATCTACTTTAACAGTAATATTAAAATGTCCCATTTTCATTCCTTTATCATTTGAGCCAATAAAATCATTTACAATAAGGTTTTCTAAACTAATCTTTTCATATGGCTTTTTGTAAATGTGCCAGACTCTGACCTAAAAGATTCCTAATCATTGCATCAACAAGACCAATAAAGTCTCATTTTTAAAATGGTAGGTTTAACATACTACTTACATACACATTGCAAAGTGTGGTTTTGGTGAGAAATCGAGATCAAGGCTAACGAAAATGTGTTTTTCTATAACTGACATAACTGAATTTGTTAAGCACTTTTGCTATTGATGTTTCAAAAGGCAGGGTCTCAACAATATTTTGAACTTGCATCTTTTGTAATGATATCCACAGTCACGTTTAAGACTAAAACTGTGATACCACACAATCTCCACTACCACACAATAGATATTACTATCTGGATTAACTACATTACATATTCAGATGGATATTCAATAAAACCTATGGCTGGAACATGAACAATCAGAAAGCAGAGAACTCTGTTAGTGACTTATAATTTCTCTCGCAGACAAGAAAAATGTTTTAAAAACCGTCATAAACAACTCCGACAGCCTTGCAGAAAATAAGATCAGTAATCATACAATAGCCCCAAACAAATTCTCAACAATTTTGCGTAACCCTGATTTCAAAATTAATAAACTTTGTTTGATTCCATCCATTTTCTAACCACTTTATCAAATTTGGGGTCGCAGTGGAGCCCGAGCCGATCCCCACCAGCAACAGGCACAAGCAGGACACACCCTGGACGGGACACCATCAGGCCAGACACAGACAGGGAAACTAGCAGAGAGCATCTCTTTGAAAACAATGCCTTGTTCTCGTTCCCTGAACAAATCCAGAAATATATTAGAGGACAAGGTTTCTTGCAATGTCTCCAAATCAAAAATTCATTCCAAACCACAGTCAGACTGCTACACATTACTCCTCAACTTCCCTGTTATTGCGAGAAAATCTAAAATTCAAAGAAACCTCTTCCCCAGCTCTACAAAACTGTACCAAGAAACTGATCCCACTTCCTCTCCTCCGATACCAGTTCTTGTCATTATTACCGACAGTTTCTGGAAACAAATCAGTAAAACCTTTACAGGGACCAACAATACAGGTCTTTCGATACAAGACAACTGACAGAGTACACAACGCAATACAGAGTGAATACAATGGGATTAACCGACATGTACAGTATATCCAAGTACACTGCACCCACACTCTCCATTACCTTCACACTACTTGACAAGAATTATGGAAAGAAATCTACAAACAATCCGGGCCTGTGAGCCACAGTATTCCACTCTCTCCTTCCCTATGTTTAATAGGACACCCACCTCTCAAACTTCAAGAACACATTCTGTTCACCCTGACTAACACCCAGAAAACGCCACTATGTACTGTAACTCAGTCCAATAACAGATTACATAATGGACAAATTTAAAGCTTCTTGCAAAAAACAAAATAAACAGTGAAACCTGGACAATTTTTACTGCATTACAATTATCTGAGTTAAAACCATACCTACATACATCTTCAAAAGTACTATAATTAAGCATTTTTTGTATATTTATATTTGAATGGATATTTAAAATATCAATAACAATAGCCTGATATCCCTCCGTGTAGAAGAAATAAGTCCTTACACTTCTATAGCACTTTTCTGGACACTCCACTCAAAGCACTTCACAGGTAATGGGGATCCCCTCCACCACTACCAGTGTGCAGCCCCACCTGGATGATGCGCCAGTCTGCTCCCCACACACCAGCTCTCAGTGGGGAGGAGAGCAGAGGGATGAAGCCAGTTCAGAGATGGGGATTACTGCTTACAACTGGCAGTCCACTTCCTGCAGCAGCCTCAGCTTTCCCAGGAGTCTCCCATCCAGGTACTGACTAGGCTCACAGCTGCTCAGCTTCAGTGGGCTGCCAGTTGTGAGCTGCAGGGTGATAAATCTGCTGGCAAATAAAGATGAATAAAATATACAGCCGGTGTGTAACTCCTGCTGTTTGTGCTCTGCCATTTGGAGAATGCGTGACACTGATTAGTAACAGAAATTAAATGTGAGGGTAAATGTGGGGCTTTACAATGCATATACCGTACAGTTTAAAACTGTGGTTTCCAGATATGTAAGCTTTCTATTTTAAAAAAAGTGGGTGAAAACTTACAATCGAGTTTTCTGCAAAGAGGGAAACGTTTTTGTTATTCCAGTCCGACTACAATAATAGATTTACCATCGGGCCTTTAAAAAAACTCAAAAAAAAAGAATACGTCAGGCGTTTACTCCGTAGGAACAATGCAGAGCAGGAAAGAATGCATGACATGTTAGTGCAGCGTGTCATCCCCTACACAGCAACAACTGAAAATCCTACTGAGGCTCTTGGTCTCTGGACTCTAAAATTAACAAGCTGCCAGAGGCCTCTAGGCTTCGTGCAAAGTGGCAGGAACAAGCAATGTTGAAGATTTAAAGTAATAGAACAGATTGATTTTTTCCCCCCAACTGTTAATCATGCCTGTTAAATGGCACAACTGCAGTGCGTGGTTATATTCATCTTTGCTGCAACACTAATGAAAAAAAAACTAATGATAGGAAATCACACCTCGGTGTCAAACAATTATAGCAAAGCAATCTAGAATGTGGACTCTGTAATTAAACTAGGGTGCTTGTAAGTGCTGCAATATGAACTTGCAACAGGTTGCATTTGGAGTTTAAAAAACACCTGTCTAGATCTCTGTTAGAATTATGTACATATTCAGTAGGAGCCATGTAGAGAGAACAGAGTATACAGAGTGCACTTGAATATCTCATTTAAAGTTGAGGAGTTTTTAAATAAAAGCAAGTCCAATCGGCAAAAGAAAAAAAAAACAATGTCATGTTACTTCCCTGGACACATCCACTAGACCGATGGATGTTTAGGAACTCCAAACCACCACAGTAATTTGAGATAAATTTAAATTGTGTGGCTACAGTTATATCACCATACAGCAAAGCAGAGACTAGTGCGTCACTACAGCTCTGAAGCCAAAGACTGTCCAGCAGTAGTTGGACTTCCTTAGAAAATGATTTTCTGCTTGACAGGCCATACTTGCATTCAAAACTAACCACTTTACATACTGAATGGTCTTTCTCTTGGTCCTCATAGCATCTCTATGTGCCAATTTAACTCTGGGTCAATGAGAAACTCAAGTTGGCCCGCATGGAAATACCACAGGGTGTGCCGAGGCATCAGGTTAGATAGATACTTTATTGATCCCGTGAGGGAAATTGCAGTGCTACAGCAGCTTAACACAGAACACAGGTAGGCACAAACCTAGAGGTCTGGAGACATTTGGCCCTTCTAGTCCATTTTGTAGTTGGGAGGCTTGTTCGATTCTTCCACAACACTATGTAAAGTGCTTCTTGCTCTCAGATTGAAATGCTTTTTCCATGTAGTTGACAATTGGTGTGTATTTCGCTATTATGGAAAAGCGTTTTTCACTACTTGAGAATACAGCTTGAAGATCCTCTGTCTTCAATTTCAGACTAAAAAGCTCAAGTGAATTAAGGGGTATTTTAGGATCAGGACCGTATTCACATGAATGCCGCCTGTCTGGAATTTTTTTCTCTGTGAGGTTTGTGTAGTTTTCTGTCCTTTTATCGTCTCGTGT